AACTGCTATTTGGCATCTCATCTCGAATGCCTGATCACTGCCTCAAACCTCAAGTCTCCTCACAGAGGACTTCCCTTACTATCAATCTGAAGTAGCTCCCCAGCACTCTCTCTGACAGCACCCTGGCCTACTCATTACTTCACTACCTGATGTTTTCCCCCATTTATTTACTGTTTGCTCCTTCCACTAGAACATCACTTCCATGAAGCAGGGACCCTATCTGTTTTATCTACGTCTGTTGGATCTGCAATGCTTGAAACAGTGTCTGACACAGAGGGTACACAATAAACTTTTTGTTGAATGAAAGAACAAACGACTTTCTCGTGTCCATTAGTGGCAACTCAATTCTTCCATCCCAGACTCAAATTCCTCTCTTATTTTCACTTCTTAGAGAACATACATTAGCAAATCCTACAGGCTTTCGCTTCAGAATACATCTAGAACCTGACCAATTCTTATGAGTCCTAGTGCTTCCTCCCTGCTTATCGTCTGTTGCCTGTGTTATTGCAATCTTATAAGTGGCCTTCCTGTTCTTGCCATTCTACAGTCTACTCTCTGTAAGGCTCTATAAAAGTGATCCTTTTTTTAAAAAAAGATTTTATTCATTTATTTTTTTAAAGATCTTATTTATTTGACACAGAGACAGAGAGCACAAGCAGGGGGAGAAGCAGAGGGAGAGGGAGAAGCAGGCTCCCCGATGAGCAGGGAGCCCAACACAGGGCTCGATCCCAGAACCCTGAGATCATAACCTCGATCCCAGGACCCTGAGATCATGACCTGAGCCAAAGGCAGACGCTTAATCAAATGAGCCACCTAGGCGCCCCTAAAGATTTTAAGTAATCTCTATACCCAACATAGGGCTTGAACTCACAACCCCAAGACGGCACGCTCCACCAACTGAGCCAGCCAGGCACCCCAAGAATGATCCTTATAAAACTAAGTTGAATCTTTCCACTCCTCTGCCTCAAATCCCCAATACGTCCCATGGTATTTGGAGTAAAGCTAAGGGCCTATTAACCCTGTAAACAGGCCTCCCCTCACCCCATTCCTCTCCTTTTTAGCTTCATCTGCTCTGACTCCCCTGCTCAGCCACACTGGCCTGCTTGCTGTTCCTCAAACAAGGCGAGCACGCTATTGCTTTAAGGCGGTCGCAGGAATGTTCATCTCTGCAGGGATGTTCATCTCCCCACTATTCCCATGGCTCACTGCTTTGCTTCTTCCAGGTCCTTACTCAAATGTCATCTTCCCAGAGGCTTCCTAGACCATCCTACTTAAAACTGCAACCCTTCCCCCTACTTTAGCACTCCTTCCTTCCAGCCTTTATTTCCCCCAAAGTCCTTATGACCATCTCACATACTCTATACTTCTGATTTTATTTGTTGCTTGTCTCCCTCCATGAGAAGTTCCACAAGCATTCAGATTATGTTTTTTTTTTTTTTAACTTCCCTATCTCCATGCCTAACATAGTGCACACAGCATGCTTTCAGCTGAAGTTTGTTGAGTGGGTGAGTGAATAAATGAATGTTCTCTTTCAGCCCTGCGGGTGGAAACGCAATAGAATTGGCTAGGTCCTATTTCTCCTGCCCGAGACCCATTAAAGAGCCTGTACCGAGCAGGCTGGCAATCAATGCATCCTGAAGAGAGGCCCTGTTTCCTCAGGCGCGCTGGAATTCCTAGAAGCTATGGACAGTGTAACTTCCCAAAAGGTTCCAAACAGTTTAACAGCCTTTGGGTTTCACTGTCCACTCTGGAGAGAAAATGCCCACGTGTGGGCCAGGAGGCCGGGGAACGAACGCGGAAAAGCTGGTGGTCCTGTAAGAAACACTCAGCCTGCTCTCGCGAAGCCCGCACACCTCCAGGCCTCCGGGAGCCAGGACCCGCTCCGCGGCCCCAGCTCCGCTCGCTCAAACCACCAGCTCCCTCCCGCGGCCAATTGGCTCCGGCCGGGCCAATGCGGCCCCGGTTTCCCAACGTCCCCCAGCAGAGGCGGGGAAACGCCCCTTCCGTCCAGCCCTCCCCGCTCACCGGGACCCTCCAGGCGGTGTCCGAGCCCCGTGATTCCGGGTAGAGCTTGTCCAGGCTGTAGATGCTCTGGAACTCGGTGCCATCTGCCTGCTTGTGCAGAGCCCGCCGGGGACAGCGCGCGGGCGGCGGGAGCAGCCAGGCCCCGGCTCGTCTCAGGCTCCAGGGCAGGCACCGAGCGGCCGCCATGTTGGGATCTCGGGGCGCTTCCGGTGGGTGCTTCCTTCCGCGGCCCGCCGGCTCCTGTTTCCCTCGGGACTTTAGTTCCGCGAGGCTTTTAGTGCCCGCCGGGGTCGCGGGGAGGCGGCGAGCTGAGAGCTCCCGGGTCGCTCTCCCAGGCACCTGTGAGACGCTCCCCCTTCGGCCGCGTCGGGGAGGCCAGGTTGGAGCGCTGAGGTCCACTGTTGGCCAGACAGCGAGCTCTCAAGGGAGCCTCCTGGTGAAAAGAACCCCCGGAATCCGTGTCCCCCAGAAACACCACTTCTGTCCTTTTCAGGGGCTGTGCCCACCTCCTGGACCGCTCTCCCCTCCAAGTTTCACAAGGTCCATCAATGCGGCCTGCCCTGCCTGGCCTAGTTCGTCTCCATCCCCTTTACTCTGACTCTGCTCTACTTTATCTTCTTTTTTTTTTTTTTTCTAGTTTTTTGCGTCTCCAGTCAGAATATAATAAGCTCTGGGGGTGGGGGTGGGGGCACTGGCTCACTGCTGAGTCCCCAGCACCCAGAACTTGGCGCATCATAGATACTCAATAAATATTCATAAGATGAGTTATTTGGCAGTGTTCTTGAAAGGTGAATTCTGCTAGAAACGAGTTTTAGTAACTTCAGGTTTATTCACAAGGCAGTGTAAGCAAATCCCGGCTGAGCAGGTGTGTGAAGTCTCCGCAAGACAAATTACCAGATGGGAGGAGAAGCAGGCAGGTGGAGAAAGACATGTTTTTAAAAGTGGACACACACCCCTTCACAGAAGCAACAGCTTTGTGGGGCACGATGACAGTTTCTCCTAGCCAGGAGATAAAGGAATGCTGGGGAAGCGGGTAGAGATTCAGGCAGCCACAGACAGGCTAAGCAGAGCCCTTTTCCAGGGTTCTTAAGACATGAACCTCAAAACAGAAGTTCTAACTCCAAGAAAGGTTCAAAGCGGAGCAAGCAGTGTTTGGAGAGAGCTACGTGTTGGCTAAGTTCCTTTGGAGAGAGGCATTGTGGTTAACGGAAACAGAGCTCAATGAGTGATTAGTGATTATTAGTCATCCTAGTGATTGTTTTGTAATAAGAGTTCTATTTTTAGTAAAAGCACAATTACCTAGAAAAATATGTCCCTAAGGATGCTGGCTGTTTGAAACAGGAGACTGTCATCTAATCGAGGCTTTACCATTTTAGTCTCATCGCTACAGGCATATTCTTTAGGAAGGAATAAACTACTTCCCAGGCACTGGCTTTGTAAACGCCAACTAGGAAGGGAATGGCGATAGACATTTGCCTTTTGGGCTCTAGGCTGGAAGGGGAATCTCTTGGGTCCCTTCCTGTTTTAGTCCCAAGACCTCAGAGGGAACTGAAGCGTCTCTATGGTGACGGGCATAAGCTGCTCCAGGGAGCAAAGCCAGGGACTCACTTAGGTCGACAGCTCAGGGATTATGAATAATAAAGTCAGCACCATTTCATGGCATCGTGGCTCTGAGGCTGGGCTCCAGCCCTGCTCCTGACCCAGAGTGATAGAAAAAAGGAGCTGTAGGTTTCCATGGCCTCAAATAAACACAGCCTGCTCAGGCCATCTGGTGGCCTGGATTCTGGAAGGGGGGGGGGCGTAGAGGAGAGAGTGAGTGGAGAGAAGAGCAGCTAGCAAGCTCCTCTCACCTGCTGCTGTTGTGAACCCTCCAGAATAGAGGCCCTTCTGGAAGAAACAGGCCTAAGAGGTGGCGCCTGTCCCCTTCAAAAGGTGGGCACCAACAGCTGAGGCCAGCCTTTTCCTTCCCCTCCTTGGCCCTCCAGGGGTTGAAATGGGGCTGCAAGAAGGGGACATTCAGAGGTAAGAAAGAAGGGAAGAAAAGACAAAGCATCACCAAGCCATTCCTGGCAGCTTCAGAGAGCTTGCAGGCACGAGCCCTTCTCTCTGGCCTGTGAGTTGGGGACCACAGGATTTTCCTTTCTTCTTTTCTGGAGTGCCCTGGGTCGGACTGGCTCTTAAAACTAAACATTACACGGGGCGCCTGGGTGGCTCAGTTGGTTAAGCGACTGCCTTCGGCTCAGGTCATGATCCTGGAGTCCCGGGATCGAGTCCTGCATGGGGCTCCCGGCTCAGCGGGGAGTCTGCTTCTCCCTCTGACCCTCTCCTCTCTCATGCTGTTTCTCTCTCGCTCGCTCTCTAAAAAATAAATAAAATCTTTAAAAAAAAAAGAAACAAAGAAAAAACCCCCCAAAAAACTAAACATTACAAAGAGATAGGCATGTGCAGTATTGCAGAGTGGAACTGGTCAGTGAATATTTCTATGGGACTCTGAATTACTAACTTAACCCCGAAGCCTCAGAATCTCCATCAGTAGAACAGAGATTTTATAGCTGCCTCCCAAGGTTGACACTGCCTGGCACGAAGTCAGCAGGCAACAAAAGTTCACTGCCGCAAGGGGGATGATAAGGAACTTCTTTTTACTTTCAGAGATCGGGTGGCGTTTATTTTTGTTCTCTGCAGCACTGGGGTAGGAAATCCAGTCTTCACTAGCTTTATTCCAGACCCACCTTCCTTCCTCCCTGAAGGGCTGAGCAGACAGTGCAGAGTGAGTGGGCAAATCTGCCCCTTCTTCGTGGAAACTGCTTCCTTCACCACCACCCCTTATCTGCCCAGTCCCCTGATAACACCCCCAGGCATTCAGCTGTTTGGCTGCAGGATCCCAGGAGAGTGAAGCTCAGGATACCCCCCTCCGCCCCCAGCCCGAGAGGTGGGTGTGTGAGATGCACAAAGACAGGACCATGGCTCTAGGGCCATTTCTGCTTTTAGAATACTGGTGCATTTTTTATTAAAGAAGAGAATAAAGCATTTGTAAATATATTTCTCTCGTGTATACTTCAAAGGTGACGCTGGTCGGCCCGCTACAGAACTGGGGAGCAAACAGGAGGAGCCCTTCCCCCACCCTATCCCCTCCACTCTAGATGACAGAGACACAGGGAGGGCTGGGAGCTGCCCAGCTCCAAAGGACAAAGGGTTCCAAGATGTGTGAACGGAAGGACCAGCCGACAGCGCTCATCACAGTGCTGCCCAGAGAGCAGGGTAGCGCCTCCAGGAAGGTTGGGCATGCTTGTTAAGAAAACCCCTTTACCCCTTAGAAACAGATAAGGCATGAAGGTCCCTCCTGGGTTCCCAGCACAGAGGCCAGGGCTCCCCCCTTCCACCAGGCTGTGTGGCTCCTCCAATTTCTAGGATCTCAGGATGGGTGGTAGAATGAACTGGAAACCCTGAAGAACTGCTCAGGGCAAGCTGGGGACCTGGACATCTCTTAGCTGAAGCTGGACTTTCTGAAGCCTTAATAAAAGGTTTAACCTGTGACCCAGGTGGGTCCTCAAAAGCCCCCCACAAAGGTGAGAGCTTAAGAACAGGCATTCTATGGGAGAGGAGACATGCTCTCCACCAGGTCCCATTTCAATACTGTTCAGTATAGAGTGGGAATCTTGGGCAGTCCCCACTGAAAGGGGGCACGGGCAGATGCTGGGACCATTGGCTGGTGGCACACTCTTGGGATATTCTGGGGGTAGCAGGCATGATCTGAGGAGGGGTCGGCCTGTGGGGAGCATGGGAGTGAATGAGACACATCATGGTCCCTGAGATGGGGGCAGGCAGAGGCCAAGCTTGGCAAGTCAGAGGTGGCGTGCAGAGATGGGGGCTCCCCACCGCCCAGACTCCTGGAAGGCTTAATGGCCAGAAGGCATTTCCAGGGCTGGAGCCTGAGGAGACTGGCTCTGAGGGAAGCAGGGCGCACTGTTCATGTATGGCTGCTGAGGGGCTCCCTGTTCCCCTCCTCTGATTGGCTACAGATCTGCAGTGGGCTGATGGTCTCCAGGGAGAAGTGGGGGGCACTCCAGGTCTGGCTGAGGCATTCTGCTCTCCATGCAGGGGCCGTCTCTGACCTGGTCAGGACCCTGGGCGTGGGACAGCTGGTGCTAAGGGAATGACAGCGCGTCGCAGCTGGGGAGAAGCAGTGGGTGGTCCAGGAGACCCCTAGAACCTGCAACAGCTGGCTCTGGGATCCCCCTTCAAGTGTTTTCAGTTGTGGCAAGGGGTCAGGGAGACCTTGCATTGCAAATCTCTCAAAACAAAAAACAAAACTTAGAAAAAAAAGAAAAAAGAAAAAAGCCAAGTGGTCCAGAATGACTTTCAGAAGCTTGGCCACAAATCTGTGAACAAGGCCCAGGGTCAGGAAGCCAAGGGCTGGGGAGCTGGGAATCCGGGGTGGGGGGTGGGGGGGGGGGGCGGTGGCGCGCACACGTTTGGCTTTGCAACTCTTAGCTGCGTCTTTGGGCTGACGCAGGGTGGAGGAGGATCCTGGGAGGCCAGATGTATTACAGGTTGGCCACCTCCGGAGTGAGCTGAGAACAAGCTGCGTCCCCCCCACACTCCCTGGGCCAGAGAGCAGCCTCCCCTGGGCCGTATTGCTGCTGATGGGCTCCCTCCCTCACCAGAGGCTGCGTGGCCCAGGCAGGAGGGGCCCTGTGGCCGGACCCTGGGGGAGGCTGCAGGCGGGGAAAGGGTCACTTGCTGCTGTGCGTCTTGACTTTGGTGGCACTGATGTCGGCCTTGGTCTTCTGGATCCTGGAAAAGATCTCCTTGAAAAGCGCCTTGTACTCGGGCTGGCTCTGCTCCAGCCGCTTATCCACAGCCTCCACGTGCTGGCTCAGGCTCTTCTCCCCTGCCTTGGCCTCCCCCTGGCCCTCCTCGCCCCCACGAAGGTCTCTCCACGAGCTGTCCCGGGAGACGGGCCGCGAGGTCTGCACGCCGGCATGCCGCACCCCGGCGCCGTGCTGTCGGCACTTGCTCAGCAGCTCCTCGTACTTCTCGAGCAGCGCGTGGTACTGCTCGTCCACCTCCCGCAAGATGGACATGCCGCGCTTGCGCACGCTGTTGGCATGCAGCGTGAGGTTGCCCGCGTGCCGGCTGGCGGGGTCTTTGGCCACGATGGCGTTGAGCGCCGTGTCGCTGCAGCTCTTGCGCACAGCGTGGCCCGGGGAGGCGGCCGGCGAGGAGACGCCGTCCTGGGCAGCCGAGTCGTCCCCGCTGCCGGGCTGGGGGTCATCGGCCTCGGGGGCCTGGGTGAGGGGCGCGAGCAGGGCCTCGGCCAGGTGGTCCTCCCGGCCCAGCAGGTAGGTCTTGGCCTGCTTCATCTGCTGCAGCTCCAGCAGCTCGGCCTCCAGCTCCTGCACGCGCAGGCGGCAGCCCTCCATCTCGCACAGCTGCCGCTCCAGCTCCGAGTACGCCTGCAGCACCACCGCGTACTCGCGCTCCGCCCGCTCCTTGCGCTGCCGCTCCTGGCTCACCTGGGAACGCAGCACACCCACCAAGGTCTGCAGCCGCTCGTTCTCCTGCTCCAGGGGCCGCGGGCCCAGCTCCAAGGAGGAACTGTGCAGGCGGAAGGCCTCCTCACACCTGAGAAGGGGCAGGGGAGGGCCGGCAGAATCCGGTCAAGGCCAAGGGCCCGGATCCAGCTCCCCACGCTTACCACCTCTCCCGTCCACTGGGGAAGATACTCGGTTTGCGCCTCTAGATCCCCTCTCTGCCCTTTCTCTCCCTGCTCTCTGCCCGGGGCGGCTGACCACAGTGAACTGCTTCGGCCAGGTTTCTGCTCTCTCCTGAGCTCAACCAGAGGGAGGCAGGGGCAGGAGGTCAGAGGGCAGGAACAGAGGCAGGTCAGGAGGGTCTTCCCCAGACTCCTTCCCTGGTTAGTGCTGATCGGGCAGCACCTCCTGGCCTTCCAGGAACCTCCCTTCCCCTGCCCCCTTCAGGCCTAGGGATGGTAACAGCCCCTTGCTGTTGCAACCCTAGGGTACTGCAGTGTCCCCGCGGTTCCCTACACCTTCGTCCATACCTCTTCATGAATCACTCTGTGCAAGGCACTGTCTCATGCCAGGACCCTTATTGAAATACCCACTAAGTGCACAATATGTCTTTAAAAAAAATTTTTTTTTTTTTTAAAGATTTATTTTGGACGCCTGGGTGGCTCAGTCGGTTAAGTGTCTGCCTTCTGCTCAGGTCATGATCCCAGGGTCCTGGGATCGAGTCCCGCATCGGTGTTCCTGCTCCTCCAGGAGCCTGCCTCTCCCTCTGCTGCTCCCACTGCTTGTGCTCTCTCTCTGTCAAATAAAATCTTAAAAAAAAAAAGACTTATTTACCTATTTGAGAGAGAGTGTGTGCATGTGTGGGGGGGGAAGGGCAGAGGGAGAGACTCTTCCAGCGGACTCCCTGCTGAGCATGGAGCCCCTAGTGGGCACCATCTCATGCCCATGAGATCGTGACTGAGTTGAAACCAAGAATCAGATGCCCAACCAACTGAGCCACCCCGGTGTCCCCACAATTATGTATTTTTATATTAAGAGGCCATCCCTTTCAGATTTAATGGGAATGTCCAGCATGGAGCCTGCTTGAGATTCTCTCTCCCTCTCCCTTTGCCCCCCCCACTTCCCTCTCTAAAGAAAAAAAAGGGGGGGGACTGAAAGGTGTAGTGGTTAACTCCTCCTGAGTTGGAATTCTAGCTTCCTGAAGAGGTGACCCTGGATAAGCTCACGTAAGCTCTGAGCTTTCGTCTCCTCACCTGAGCGGTGAGGATGATAGACCATAGCTCATGGTATTGCCACGGGAATGAAATCACTTAGAGCGGTGGGCACGTGGCCAGGGCTCGGTCAATGCCAGCTGCTGATGGTTGGTGGCAACAGGGCTAGTCCCTCCGACAGCCTGACGGTGCACCAACTCTCATTCCCACCCGCTGCCTGGGGCCCACCCTCTCCTTTCTCCGGGATGCAGGGACACCATGCAGGATCCGGGCTTGCCCCCCACAGGGTGCCCTCACCTACCGGGGGCTGGTGCACAGCTCCCTGAGGCAGGGGAAGGTGTGGACGGTGCGTCTGCGCTCCCGCTTCTCTCGGCGCACCCGCAGCTGCTCCAGGCCCCGCAGCTGCTCCACCTGGGCCTGCAGCTCCTCCACCTGGGCCTGTAGGCGCTCGATGGTCTCTGTCAGCCTGGGTGGTGGGGGGCGCACACGGGAGGGATTTTACCGGGACGGGGCCAGCCCTCCTCACTGCAGGCCTGGAGGGACTCAGGGATGGGGAAAGATGGGCCCTGCTGCCTGGTGCTGAGGTCAGACGAGAACTCCCTGTGTACCCAGGACCCGCCCTTCTTCTGCGCCTCCCCGGCTGAGCTGACCATTCTCCTCTGTATCACCTCGGTTCTTCCCACACCCTTTGAGTACTTACCATCCTGCACCGCAATAAAGTATTTACATGCCTGTCTTCCCTCCCGGGCTGTGAGCTCCCAGAGGGCGGGACGGTCTCTGTATCCCCATCGCTGTATCCCCAGTGCCTAAACAGAGCCTGGTGTGTAGCTGGGAGGGATTGTGGCCTGAACATGAAACCACCCGAAACTGACAAGGGCAATCTCAATACCATCCCGGGTCTCCAGGCCTGGGCTTCTGGGAGAAGGAGCATGGGTCACACCCACCGGACAGTATGCCCACATGCAACCCAACCTGACCTCTCCCTCGCTCGCCCCCCAGCCCGCCACCCGGCCCTCACCCATGGATCTTCTGCTGGGCAGCCTTACTCTCCAGCACCAGCTTCTGGTTGGTCAGCTCCAGGTCTCGGGCTGTCAGGTCCAGCTGCTCGTACACTTTGGCATGCTGCTCATTCATGTGCCGCAGCGTGTCCAGCTGCTTGGTTAGGTACTGGAGGGGAGAGGATTGAGTACCCTTTCAGAAGAGGGTTGGGGGAAATGTGTTCACCTGGACCTCTTCCCACTTCTAGGAACACATTTGCTTTGGGAAATTTGTCGGCAGCAGAGTGGGGGGTAAAGATGGTGGCACGATAGGGCCGCCTGGGATAGTTGTATAGGTTCTGAACTGCACAAGACTATGGGGCCAAAGCTGTGTCTGCTAAGAGGGCACCTTTCTCTAAGTTACACAAAGGCACCATAGGCCAAGGGTCCTTAATGGGTGGGGGAGCACATGCAGGGCCTATGTGGCCCCTCACCTCGATCTCCTGTACTTGCTCCTCATTGGTGGAGTACATCTGCTGCAGAGACTCCTCCAGCTCCTTGTTCCTCTCCAGCAGGGTCTTCCCCAGCTCTGCGGCCAAGTGCAAGTCTAGTGGAGGGGGGCAGAGGGTGGGAGTAACAATGAGCAGCTGAACGAGCTCAGAGGACTCCCATAAGTGTTCTGAGCATTCACTTTGGGCTATGCTTTGGGGACCCCAAGACAACCAGGACACAGAGCTGCCCTGAGGGAGCCTCCAGGCCTCGAAGGGGATGTAAGCCAGGAGCTACAACTTTGCACTGACTGTCCCTTCTGTCTGGAATGTCCTCTCCCCAGACACTCCCAGGACTTGTCCCCCTCCTCCTTCAAATCTGTGCTTAAATGTCACCTTCTCCAGGAGTCCTTCCCCAACCACCACTCATTCAAAGTCATCCCTCCCCCACCTCGCACTCCCTCTCGGCTTAGTTTTTCTCCTCAGCGCATACCACCATCTAACTTACCAAACTATTTGCTCATTTATCTTGTTCATCTCCCCCCCCACCCCAACTAATTGTAAGCTCATAGGGCAGGGATTTTGCCAATTTTGTTCACCGATATCCCAGGACCTAGAAGAGTACCTGGCGTAGAGGAGGTGTATAATAAATATTTTCTGAAAGAATGAGTGAGGGGCACCTGGGTGGCTCAGTTGGTTAAGCATCTGCCTTTGGCTCAGGTCATGATCTCAGGGGTCCTGGGATCGAGCCCCACATTGGGCTATCTGCTCAGTGGGGAAGTCTGTTTCTCCTTGCCCATCCCACAAGCTTGTGCTCTCTCCCTCTCTCTCTCTCAAATAAATAAATGAATAAATAATCCTTGAAAGAATGAGTGGGAGGAATGTGCTAAGACAACCAACAGACATGGGGAAAGTGCTCTGGGATGACAGGTAAGGGCGAGCTCACTCTTCCTGGGGTCGGCTGGAGGCTCCTGCAATGGGCAGCTTGCAAGCTGGGTTTGGAAGGGTGACTAGGAGCCCGCTGAGATTGGAAGGGAGCAGAAAGGCTTGCTGGGTATTAGAGCTGGATGAGGCTTCAGAGCTGTTTGGCCTAACCTCCTTATTCTATGGGTGACAGGCTGGAGAGCGAGAGCGAAGAATGACCTGCCCAAGGTTATGGCCACGTTGGAAGCAGAATTCAGGTCTCCTGGCCTTGGTCAGGTACCGTTTGGTTCTAATGACATGGGCCCCTCTCAGAAACCTCCTTTCCCTGGGCAGCAAAACCATCATCCTCTTCCCCCAAGCAGCCCTGATTCTTGTACCCTACAGGACTGGAACCTACTCTCCCCCATCCCAGCCGAAAGTAAATGAACACTGTCAGGCTGGGAGGGGATCCAGCCTGTTTTTAGGGGGTTGTGTGGTGGGGAGGGGGAGGGGTTAAAAGGAAGTGGCAGGTGCTGGAATCCCTAAAAATTCTCTCTAGTGGGTCTGGGGTTGTGCGAGGGTAACTAGACATTTGGGGTAGATATTCCTCCGTATATATGCCTCACTCTTCTTAGAAACAAAGGGAATGGCATATTTATTATTATCAAGGGCAAATATATTATTTCTTTTACTTCTAAGAAGAGTTCAGGATGATGAAAATGTTCTAAAGCTGACAATGGGGATGACTGCACTGTGAATATGCTGGAGACTGTCGCGCTGCTGTGCACTTTGAGTGAGTTACCTGGTGTATGAATTACATCTCAGTAACGCTGTTTTTAGAAAAAAGATTCAGGCAGCTTAATCAGGAGACAGAGACTGGTGGTGGGGGCAAGGCCTTTAAGGAGGTCGGTAGACAGACTCAGGTGGAGTTCACAAGGCTCTCCCTCCCTCCCTCTCTTTCTCCTCTCTCTCTCTTTTTTTTTAAAGCTTTTATTTATTTATTTGAGAGAGAGAGAATGAGAGAGAGCACATGAGATGGGGGAGGGTCAGAGGGAGAAGCAGACTCCCTGCCGAGCAGGGAGCCCGATGCGGGACTCGATCCAGGGACTCCAGGATCATGACCTGAGCCGAAGGCAGTCGCTTAACCAACTGAGCCACCCAGGCGCCCTCTCTCTTTCTTTTTAAAAAAAGATTTATTTATTTGTTTGGGAGAGAGAGAGCACGAGCAAACACACCGCAAACACACCGAGGGAGAAGGAGAAGCAGACTCCCCGCTGAGCAGGGAGCCCGATGCGGGGCTCCATCCCAGGATCCTGGGAACATGACCTGAGCTGTAGGCAAATGCTTAATCGACTGAGCCACTCAGGTGCCCCTCTTTTTTTTTTTTTTTTTTAAGGCTCTTTTCTTTTTAAAATTGCTTTAAGGCTTGTGTGAAGGTGTACTTGATGTAAAAAAATCAAACGGCACAGAAAGGTTAACAAAGGTGACCAAAATATTACTTGAAAATGTACCTCATATATTCTTAGATCTATAACTGGGAATTCCACAAACAAATGGACATGGCCTCAAATAGTTATCAAAAGAATAGTGCCATTTGTAAGTAATTAGAGTTAGGGTCCGTGCGGCGCGGGAGAGGAGAGGGGAGCAAGCAAGTAGAAGAAAATGCCCCACTTAGAGAAAGATGCTGTCAACACGCAGGTAACCATCCTTCTAAACAGCTTTCTAGGCTTAGAGCTGCTATAGTAACGATTTTGTGTGACCAGAATGTTTTTCTGTACCTGCTTTTTTTCATTTCACAATTTGGCATAAACAGCTTTTTGTGTGCACATGGATCTACAGGGCCATTTTTAGTGGGTGTGAATGTTCTATTGTACACAGGTCCCTAAGTAGCCCTTACTGTTGGATTTTTAGGAATTTCCCCCCCTTTTTTTTTTCTGTTAAAAATGTAACTGGGGGGCGCCTGGGTGGCTCAGTTGGTTAAGCAACTGCCTTCGGCTCAGGTCATGATCCTGGAGTCCCGGGATCGAGTCCCGCTTCGGGCTCCAGTCCCGCATCGGGCTCCCTGCTCGGCACGGAGTCTGCTTCTCCCTCTGACCCTCCCCCCTCTCATGCTCTCTCTATCTCATTCTCTCTCTCAAATAAATAAATAAATAATCTTAAAAAAAAATGTAACTGGGGTTGCCTGGGTGGCTCAGTCGGTAGAGCATCTGCCTTCTGCTCGGGTCATGATCTCAGGGTCCTGGAGTCGAGCCCCACATCAGGCTCCCTGCTCAGCGGGGAGTCTGCTTTTCCCTTTGCCCTGCTCCCCCACTCATACTCTCTCTCTCTCAAACAAATAAATAAAATCTTTTAAACAATGAAACTACAAAAATTCATAGTACAAAGATCTTGGTGCAAATCACTGCCTATATCCTGAAGATCCTTTCCCAGAAACAGAATTACCGGGACAAAGAGTAGGCCTATTTGATTCATTCTGCCAAAATGCTGTCCAGGAAAGCTTGGGTCTTTTTCCCATTGTGAGGTTGTTTCTTAAAACAGCCCTCTATCTAGGCTGATGGTATAAATCCAGATCGAGATGCATAAAGGCAACTCTGCTGGGGCCGATGTGATGTGGTCCAGGGATTCAAGTCTTTAATGCTTTCCTGTTCAGACAGTGATCGTTCTAGACTCCCCAGAGGATGGAGGGTCTCTATAGTCCCCCCATAGACAGTTTCATCAATACAGTTGTTTCAGCTGAGCCCCTTGCTGGGCACCGGCCAGGTCTGGGGAGGAGGCTTCTCAGGAGAGCCTAGGAGAGCAGCGACTCCCTGTGGGCCTAGGAGAGCAGAGCCTCGGGCTTTTTCTCAGCCAGGCTGGGGGTCGGACTGACAGCACCTTACGGAACCCAGAGGACCTGGACAAAAGGCCCAGCTACCTGTTGGGAACAAGCCTGGAGTCTGCTCCCACACATACAGGTAAGGTTTTGAAACAGCCAGAGTGGAGTCTTCGGGCTGGGCCTCAGGCAGGAGCGGGGCCCTGTGCCCGGATATCACCCAGAGGAGTTTCCTGGAGGAGTGCAAAGCTGCTATCCCAGAGAAAGGCTGCAATAACCTAGGCTGGGAAAACAAAAGCTGTTTTCCTAAACAGCTACCTCAGCCAATGAAAAAAAAAAAAATCAGGGGCGCCTGGGTGGCTCAGTGGGTTGAGCATCCGACTCTTGGTTTCAGGTTCAGCTCAGGTCAGATCGAGCCCCGCACTGGGCTTGGCGATCAGTGTGGAGTCTGCTTGTCCTCTCCCTCCTCCTCTGCTCTTCCCCTCACTCTCTCTCTCTCTTTCTCTCAAATAAATAAAATCTTATTTTTTTTTAAAGATTTTATTTATTTGACAGAGAGAGACACAGCGAGAGAGGGAACACAAGCAGGGGGAGTGGGAGAGGGAGAAGCAGGCTCCCAAGGAGCAGGGAGCCCGATGCGGGACTCGATCCCAGGACCCTGGGATCATGACCCGAGCCGAAGGCAGATGCTTAACAACTGAGCCACCCAGGCACCCCTCAAATAAATAAAATCTTTTTTTTTTTAAGATTTTATTTATTTATTTGAGAGAGAGAGAATGAGAGACAGAGAGCACGAGAGGGAAGAGGGTCAGAAGGAGAAGCAGACCCCCTGCCAAGCAGGGAGCCCGATGTGGGACTTGATCCCGGGACTCCAGGATCATGACCTGAGCTGAAGGCAGTCGCTTAACCAACTGAGCCACCCAGGCGCCCAAATAAATAAAATCTTAAAAAAAAAATCATATAGGGTGCCTGGGTGGCTCAGATGGTTAAGCGTCTGCCTTCGGCTCAGGTCATGATCCCAGGGTTCTGGGATCGAGTCCCGCATTGGGCTCCCTGCTCCTTGGGAGCCTGCTTCTCCCTCTGCCTCTCTCTCTCTCTCTCTCTGTCTCTCATGAGTAAATAAATAAAATCTTTAAAAAAAATAATCATATAGATCTCAGATAAGAACCTTCAGCTTTGAGCAATGAACTTCGGATGATGATGGCGAGAAAAACCAGTTACCTAATACAGACTGGGAGGGGAATGGGGCCACTTGCAGTACGAATTTATGAACTATAAGTTGGGCAAACATCTACAAAGTGTGAAGGCGTCTGGAGGCATCCGTCTACAAAGTGTGAGGTTTGATGTGAGTATCACAGCGCAGCCCTACGTTAGGTTGCGTGCTTGGTGCGAATTCGGGAGCCCAGCAAGACCACCCCCGCTTCGTGATGAGGCAGCCACACCATCTTCCTACTTTCTGAAATGAGATGGTGAACATATGGCTCATCCCCAAACAGTATCAAACAACTCAGGTAGCAATGGAAAAGAACAGAGGGCCACACTCATCGGGGCTTTCTCCTCTGGGAACTGGCAGGTGCTGGCATTGGGGTACACGCTCCATGGGTGGACTGCTTGGAGTTCCTGTAGCTTAACCTAGAGCCCAAGACCTCAGGCTCCGAAGCTGAGTGAGGAAAGGCCACAAACAGCTGCATTTTGTGCTTTTCTTGCCAGGTGAGCCCCTGAGCTGTGTGTGTATTTCTACCGCTGGGCTGGGGCAGCTGCAAGTCACTATAAACCAAGGACACAGAAGCTTGCCCTGTGAAGGCAGCGAATGTAACCAGGCCGCCCAGTGACTCAGGGGTGGGGAGGAACACAATAGAAGCTGTTTGGGGTCGGGGAGAACCTCAGAGACTGTCTCGGGGAAACCGGATCACAATGTAAGCTAAGCTGGTCAAAGTTGCCAGGAGGGATCACGGGAGAAGTCTAGAAGCTGCAGAGCAGGGGACTGGCTGGAGCCAAGTACTGGGGAAGGTACACCAGCTAGCAGAGGGCTGGTGATGGCTCTGGGCTCTGGGGGGCGGGGGGGCGGTATACAGCTCCCCTTGGACCAGGGGTGGGGGAGGCCTCGGGGTGGGAGAATGGGGGAGCTGGCTAAGCAGGAAGTAGATGCGAGTCATAAATAGTCTGTCATGGCCGGATTAATGGTCACACTGGACCAAGCTGGGGGGAGGTACCAAGTCTAAATGGGCAACCCCCCCACCTGGACCCTGGGATTTTCTGGGGTCTCCTGTAGTGGGCTTCAGCAGTTTTGCCCTCTGAGTGCCTGCTGATGTGCTCCCCATGAGCAATGCCCTAAAGGCCTGAGAGGGAATGGCTGGGAGCCACGAGGATGTCCTTGAAAAGAAACCCTGAAACCCCACTGTCCCCACTGGTTGGGGTTGGGGTGGGACCCACAGACTCTGGAGCAGAGAGGTAGGAAAGGGACAGGGGACAGGCACAGGGATGAAGGGACAAAGATAAAGTGGGTGGGAGGAGGCAATCTACCACCTGGCAGGGCTGCAGGGTTCCTGCTTACAACCTCCAGGGCACAAATGTCAGGAACTCTGGGTCCACACAACTGGGCTCCGGTCACCCCCCCCCCTTGCCATGTCAGAGCTCTGGCCCAAGGCTGAGACTCAAGGTCAGGCACCCAGGTCTTCAAGTCTGTGACTCAGCAGCCCTGTCTCAGCTCGGAAAGAGGTACCACAGGGCCTGCCATGCCTGGTGCAAGGTCAGGAGTGGAGGCGGGCAGAGAGAGAACCTGTGTTTAACGATTGATGGCTTTTTCTATTTTTACAGGTGCTGATGTCGGTGGGTGGAGGGAACATGGTGAGGATCTAGGGCCTTGCTTGTCCCAACCGCCTCCCCGCACTGGGAAAAAACAGCATCCAAGTCCAACAGCATCTGGAAGGCCAAGCTTCCAGAAAGTACAGTTGGGGCTGCCCTCAGGACAGGGGGAGACAAATACAGAGGGGAGGCCAGGCTGGCTGAGCGAACCACCTTCTGAGCCACTCAGAGGCACTGGGGACAGGGAAAGGGGGTGTAACAGGCACCTGATCACCAGTGCGGCTGGCCTTTGGCCCATGCTTCACGCCATCATCCAGCTGTCGGTGCTGGGCTCTAAGAGGTGCGCTGCAGTGGCTGTGCCTGAGGTTTCCCGGGAGCCCACTGCTGGCACTCCAGATGGCTCCTACCTTCTAGCCGTGGGTGGTCTTCTCACATTGCTCTGTACCTTGGTTGGTACTGTGTTCCCTCCACCTTGAATGCCCAGGCAGCCCCTATTCTCCCTCCCGCTCAGAGGGGCTTTTGCAGAAACCTTTATGAGTCTCATAGCAGAAGGCCCTCTGCTCTCACTATGGAGACATCTACAAACATCTACAAAGTGTGAAGGCATCTGGAGGCATCCGTCTACAAAGTGTGAGGTATTTGAGCCGAACCTGGGCTGAACCTGAGCTGAACCTGGGATCATGACCTGAGCTGAAGGCAGACGCTTAACGACTGAGCCACCCAGGTGCCCCTCAAATAAATAAAATCTTTAAAAAAAAAAAAAAATCATATAGGGCGCCTGGGTAGCTCAGTTGGTTAAGCGTCTGCCTTTGGCTCAGGTCATGATCCCAGGGTCCTGGGATCGAGTCCCGCATCGGGCTCCCTGCTCCTTGGGAGCCTGCTTCTCCCTCTGCCTCTCTCTCTCTGTCTCTCATGAATAAATAAATAAAATCTTAAAAAAAAATAATCATATAGATCTCAGATAAGAACCTTCAGCCCTCGCCCGGGGTGAGGGGACATTTGTTTTTAGGTCACAAACCCTGATTTCTTCAGACACTGCCTCATTTCTGGTTTCCCTCCTTATTCCTGGGCCCTGGCTACTCCTGGGGCCACAAGACAAGGCCGGCTACTGCAGACCAGCAAGGCCAGCCCCTACCTTGGTCCCAGAGCATGGCTGCCCAGCCCAGCTCGAATCTCGACACCTCTCGCTCTCCGGAAGCAGCACGTCTCCCACCCCTACTCTCTGGCTCCTTCCTCCCACATCTGGGCTGGGCAGCATGCCAGAGACTTTGTTAGGGGTGCGGGAATGAAATGAGACAGCAGCAATATCAGCATCAGCTTCCTGGGAAGCCATCTTCCCAGGCGCCCAGCTTCCAGTCTTTCCATCTAGGCCTGCCTCTTCCATGAAGCCCTCTTACTGCACCCTAACACCCACACTTAGTTATAGGCCCACCTCCGCCTGCCCAGGTGCACCCAGGAGGCCAGGGCTGAGACTATCCCAGCTCCCAGGACGGTGTCCGACACTTAAGTGTCAGCCCGAGGAGGTGTTTGTGGGATGCAAAATTTGGGGGGTGGTGCCCAGGATAGGGGAGGGTGTTGTCACAGCCAGTACTGGACACCATACTCCACGCAGGGAGGCTGAGGTAGACTCCAGGGCAAAGACTATGGCAGAGTTCAGCCCAGCACCCCAGTCCCACACTGGTCCCAGAGGCTCTGATTAACCCACGCTCCCGAGTACAAGGACAGTCTCATCTACCAGCAAATCTTGCCACGTGGGGATGTGGGTCAGGGCCAGGAAACAAAGGCTCCAGGATCTGGGTAGATGTCTCACACGAGGGCAAAGCTAGGCATCTGGGGGCCCCAGTGGATGGCGACTCAGAGCAGGGGTGTTAGTACGCACTGGACCAGACTTGTGTCCACACTCGCCTGGCTTGCTGGGTGATGGTAGTCACTTCTCCTAGACATGTTTCCTTGCCACTCCAGCTCTAACGGTCCAAGAATGAGGCACTTTGGGGGAAGAGAGGGTGGATTTGACGCTGTTCCAGGAGACCTTGGCCCTGACCCTCTTAGGCCTCCTCCTGCTTCCTGTCCCACAGCTCCGCCCCCTGCCTGGAGTGATGTCACCTTGGCCACCTCATCACCAGATTCTAACCCCCTTCCAGCCACCCTCTCTACCCTCAGATGGGAGTGGGGGAGGTGGCTCCCACTTTACTCAGGCTCTAGTCTGGTGCATTGCTCAGAATTCCCAAACCTGGTTCCCTCTGAACCATGAGTCATTTGAGAGAGGGCTGGGAGGGAAAGGGCCAGGGGACCCCCTTCCCCTCAGGAAGGCAGATTGGAGACTCCAAGTTTTTGCTGCTTCTTGGCCAGCAGGGTCCCCAAACCCCTATACCTTCCCTGGGTGGAGGGTAAGGGAGTTGGGGAAACTTTCTGGGAGTTTCAGAGCTCAGGAATCCTGGCAGGGAAGGGTGCCACTGGATTTGGAATGGGATAACTTTCCGCTACACACACACACACACACACACACACACACACACACACACACTCACTCACTCTCACTCTCACTCTCTCTCTCTCTCTCTCTCTCTCAGCAAAACATAACCAAGGAGCCACCTCCCGGCCTTCAAAGACTTCCAGCCAGTACTCAGGCCCCCAACAATACCAGGGGCGCCTGGACAGTTCCTGCCTCTAAGATGGGGTGGGTGAGCTGGGTGAAGTATGCCCCTGTGGTTCAGGGAAAAAGAAAGGCCGCTCCCCCCACTTTTGCACGGCTTCGCGGGTCCCGCCCGGGTCTTCCCGGGCAGCGCTCCCTCTCTCCACGTCCCGATTCTCCAGACACATCACCCCTCGGAGTCCGGCGCTCCGGGTCCAGCCCAGCCCTCCCCGGGGTGATACTGCTCAACAATGGAGAAGCGGACAGGGGTCGCCGGGCGCACCCCGCTCTCCCGCCGCACCCACGCCCCCGTGCTCACCCTGTTCCAGGTCCTGCTGGTCGTACCAGGGCTCCTCTTCCTCTGTGGAGAAGTCCTCCATCCCGGCGGCTCTCCGCATGGCCCCGCGGGCGGCGGGCGGCAGGCGGGCGCTGCGGCGGCGCGGCTCAGGGCCGGGGCGCGGGGCCCGGGACAATGCGGCGGAGGCCGGCCGGGCCTCCCGCGTCGCGGACTCGGGCTGCAGCGCCCCCGCCCGCGCCGCGCCCCCTCGCCATCGGCCGCCGACCCGGCGCCCACGCGGGCCTAGCGCGCCGCGGCGTCCGGCCCGGCCGGGGTCCTGCGGAGCCGGGGGCACCGGACGGCGGCGGCACAAAGGGTGGAGGGGCGGAGACGGCGGGCGGGACGGTGGCAAGGACGGTCGGAGTCCGCCGGCCGTCTGGGGCGCTAGGAGTGCGCGGGGGCCGCGGGGGGCGCCCCCTGCCCGGCTCCGGCCCGCGCTGCCCCCTGCCCGCCCGGCGACACCCGGAGCCGCCGCTGCATCTTGGCGGGGTCCGCCCCGCGCTTCCCTAGCCGCCTGCTCCGAGAGGTGGGGCCGGCCGCCGCTGGCCAGTCAGGAGACGTATGCAAATATGGAGGCGGGGACGAGGGCGGGATCTCCCCGGTGCCCTGGTGGGGCCGTTGCTGGTTCAACCTCCTCCTCCCCCTAACGCCCGACCCCTTCGGTTTACCGCTCACTGTCTGAAATGATTTTATTTTGTTTACCTGCTGTTATCTCTCTCTCTCCCTTTAGATCTCCTGAAAGCACAGATCGTGCCTCTCTTGTTCACAGCTGGCTCCTTAGTGCCTAGAAGAGGCTGGCCAGTTAGGACCTTCCATGGACACTCTTTGAATGAATATTTATTTACGATTACCGTTGAGAAGTTGTGTGTTTAAATATCTGTGGCTGGACGCCTCAGGCCAGGAGTGGCGAAGTTTGAGGGTGTGTTACCTGCATTCTGGATCTTTCCCTTTAAGGTCCTGTTTCCCTCCCCTTCCCTCTCTTTCCATATGCTATATCCAGTTACAACAGTTAAAACCATACACAATTTCACCTTCTAAGCATTCTTTCCTTAAAGGAGTTATCAGACTCAAGCATTCATGAGCATTCGTGTAACTGATTGTTATTAGGACTGTTGAGGCATCCTGAGTATATCCAACTCTGAATATATGTGGCAAATATATCCAACAAAGGGCTTGTATCCAGAATATAGAAAGAATACCTGCAAATCCACAGGAAAGACAGCCCAGTAGAAAAGTGGGTAAAAGACTTGACCAGGCACTTTACAAATGACCAAATGACCCAACAAACATGTGACAAAGTGTTCAACTTCTTTAGAAGCATCAACCCTTGCAGGGAAAGAGAAGGAAACAGGGTTTGCATAGGGAGGAATTGGGTTGAGATGTGACCTTAACAAAAGCCTCCCCTGACTCTGGACAGCTCTGAATCCGGAGAGACCTTCCAAAGCTATTCCAAGTGGCAATGGGGAGAGGGCCCCATGTACACAAGTCATTGAATGGATGCAGGTGGTGAATGACAAGCAGTGTGATCTTAGGCAAAGGAGCTCTTTTCAGCTCCTCTCTTCTTAGAGAGGGCTGGCAGCTGAGGACTTCCCAGCAGCTGGGGGAACAAATCCTTCAGTTCTGAAAGGGAGCCTGGGGAATGCATCGAAGCATCCATCATATATGGATGCTATAATCCAGCCATTCTGTTCCTATATATGTGCAACAGAAATATGTGGATATGTTAATGAAAGACATGTACAAGAATGTTCATAGCAGCACAACTGAAAATAGCCCAAACTGGAAACAACCCAAACGTCCATCAATAGTCGATGAATAAAATGTGGTATATGCATGCAATGGAATGTTGTACAGTATAAATAAAATGTTGAGTGAAAGATGCCAGACATAAAAAGTAAATACTTTTATTAGTTTCCTAGTGTTTCTGTAACAATTTACCCCAAATTTAGTGATGTGAAACAACACAAACTTACTGTCGGACAGTTTTGTAGGTTAGAAGTCCAACATGGCTCTCACTGGCTGAAATACAGGTGTCTCCAAGGCTGTATTCCATTCTAGAAGCTCTAGGGAAGAATCGGTTTCCTTGCTTTTTGCTCCTTCTAAAGACCACCCACATTGCTTGACTTGTGTCCCCCTTCTTCCATCTTCAAAGCCATCAACAGCAGGTTGAATCTTTCTCATACTGCATCACTCTGACCTTTCTGCTTCCCTCTTCTGCTTTTAAAGAGCCTATGATGACACTGAGCCCGCCCAATAATCCAGCATAATCTCCCCATCTCAAGGTCCTTAACTCAATCACATCTGCAAAGTTCCCTTTGCTATGCAAGGTAACATTTAAAAGTTCTGGGGATGTGAGCATCATTAGGGATCATTCAATTTATATAAAGTTCAAAACTGGCAAAAATGAATCTGACCAGGATAGTATTTAGCTTTCAAGAGTCATGTGGGGAACTCTGAGGGGATGGGAATGTTTTATTTCCTGATCTGGGTGCTGGTTACACAGGTGTGTTCATTTGTGACAATCATTGACTTATACACTTAGTTTTTTTTTTTTTTTTTAAGTAGGCTCCATGCCCAATGTGGGGCTTGAATTAATGACCCTGAGATCAAGAGTCACATGCTCTACTAACTGAGCCAAACAGGCACCCCAGCCTGTACACTTAGGATGTACACATTTCTTTGAATATAGGTTATACTTCAATAACATAGTTTACTTAAGAAGAAAAAGAAATCTGTGGCTGAGACATAGGCAGTCTCTGCTCTTGTGCATCCTTCATTCTAGTGGGGACAAATAAGTTATTACAACCTGCAATGTGTGCTATGAAGGAAATTAACAGGGTTCTGGAAGCAAGTTTGGGGCAAGGTTTAGATTCAGTGTTCAGGAAAGACCTTCCTCAGAAGGTGACCTCTAAGCTAATACCTAAAGGATGAGATCGTGCCAGGCGTGCCAAGCTCTAGGGGGAGAATGTTCCAGGCAGAGGCAACAGCAAGGGCAAAACCCTTCAGGCAAAAAGAGCTTGACATATATTAGGAACTGACGGAAGGCTGGTATAACTGAGTGGAGTGGATACAGGAGAGATGAAATCAGAGTTAGGGCCATGGGAAGGAATTGGGATATTCCCCCCCCCCAGCTGGACAAAGAGAACGAGTAGAAGGCTTCTCATTTTCAGCTGTAAAATATCACTGGCAATTTTGAGCACGGATTGGAGGGGAGGGAGCAAGAGTGGAAGCAAGACCAGCTTGGAGGCAAGACCAGTTTGCAGATGAGCCGACTGAAGAATCAGAGTGATGTTTTAGACTTCTGGTTCCAGTAACCAGGGATGGTGATGCCATTCATTGAGCTGGGGATAGAAATGAGTCTAAGGGACCAGCAGGTTGCAGGATGGGGGCGGGGGGAGGAGGAGTAAGTTCCAAAGGGATCTGGTCAGCGCTTCCAACTCACCAAGTCCTCCTCCCATCTGTTCATTTCTTCATTCTGCAGCTCTGTGGGAGAGCTGCCCTCAGGGAGTTTAGGAAGTCCCAAGAGGAGAGCAGGGGCCAAGGGCTGAGGGCCAGGGCCTGGGGAGGGCTGCCTCAGTTTCCCGAGCCTGGACAGTGAGGATGCTAGTTAGAGCAACTAAAGGCAGCCCCCATCTGAAGATTCATCTCCAACCCCTGGAGCTAAGGATGCTTTCAGTGATGACTTAGATGACCCCCATGTTTGCAAACATCCAGATCCTGTGTCACCTCCCAGCCTTTGGCCTTTACCATACTGGCCAGATCCTCAGCATGGCTCTCCTCTCCTGTAGCCACCCTCCTCCTGCCCCAGCCCCAGAAGCATCACCTGGCAGGGACAAACATGTTACAAAGGCTGGATTCTCATTGCCATCCCACCAATAGGCAGGGTGATTGAGGCTGGATTCTCATGAGGCTGGTATGGGCCAATGCTGGGAAACCAACTCTGCCAGGTCGGTGGGGCTTCCTTATCTCCCTCTGCAGGGGACAGAGAGTGGAGGTCCAGGTGACCTGCAGAGCTGTGGCTGGCTGAGGAATCGGAGGTGCATGCTGCGTACCAACCCTGTGCCAGGCCCTTTGCCTGAGTTGGTGCATAGGAACCCCAGGCTCCTTGCCCACTGGGATCACTCCCTGTGCCTTCAGGCCAGCCTTAACAGTTTTTAGACTATTCCAAGAGAAGGAAAATCAGATCTGCTTTTTTTTTTTTTAAGTTTATTTATTTTATAAAGTTTATTTATTTAAGTAATCTTTACACCCAAGGTGGGACTCGAACTCAGGGCCTGGAGATCAAGAGTGGCATGCTCCTCCGACTGAGCCAGCCAGGCGCCCCAAATCTGCTTTTGAGGAAGGAAACTCCTCAGCCTCTCTGAGCTAGCAGCCAGCAAGCTCTGGGACCCATCTCAGGCCCTTCCCTCTAAGGAGGTAGAGGGCCTCCGCAGGGGTCAGAAGTGTAAACTATCTGACCTTGGTTAGCCCCCAGCCTGGTACCTCCTAGGTGTGTCAGGCAGACCTACTGGGTGGTGTTCCTTGTTGGGATGGCCAGAGCCCTCGGTGGACCCGATGTCCCCCAAGCCTTGGGCATTATGAGTCCCCTGGGGTTGGCTTCACACTCCAGCAACCAGGAGCGCTTCCCCAGCACCCTGGAAATGCAAGCCCAGCTCCTGGATGTGGGACCAGATAGGGAATCCGGGGGGAGTTGGGAGCCGGGACCCGGCGACGCAACGCCCTCCCGCCAGCGCTGCTTGGGCGCAGGGCGGGGCTGGACACCCGGACACCACGGCAGAGTCGCCACGGCCACCCACCCGCCCAGCCCGGCCCACCGGAAATGACGGCGCTTGCGCAGGCAGCGCTGACGTTGGAGGGTCCCGGCCGCTCCCAGTCACCCGAGTCACCCTGGGGGAGGGGCAGGGTGCGCATCCCGCGCCTCCGGGCCCTCGGGGTACGCACCGCCCCCGCACGCTGCGCATCTTGGGTGGAGGTCAGGGGATCAGGCGATATCAGGACCCCTTCCTTGGGTGCCCCCACCCTTGCAGGCCGCGCTGCCCTCCCTGTCCCCAGACCCGTCGTTCCAGCGCTGGGCGCACATTGCACTGAATGATCTCGCCCCATCTGTCCCCCCTCCCCCAGTCTGAAGTCAGTGCCGGGCGGGATAAGGCGCGAGTGAGGTCATCGGGTGCCCATCCCCCCTCCCCTCCTCCTCCCCCCCTCGTTCCCTATATACCATCTGAGTGTGTCCCAGACAACTGTCTGCTCTGAGAGGGGAATTATTTTAGATTCTCACCATCCTCGTGGTCAGGAAGTGCTTCCGCATGCCTACCTCAAATCCCTTCAGTTTAAAACCTCCAGGCCTGCCATCGGTGGAGTGACCTTTAGGGTCCTCCTGTGGCCTCCCCCTTTACTCCTTTAAGACCTCCCTGTGGGGGGCACCTGGGTGGCTCAGTTGGTTAAGCGACTGCCTTCGGCTCAGGTCATGATCCTGGAGTCCTGGAATCGAGTCCCGCATCCA